AATTTCTTTTGTCTTTTGCGGCATTTACCAAAGTATCAGTTGGCGTTTACGCACGGAAAATGTTTACCTACGTAAGTAAACTCTGATACCTCGGTAAACCGTTCAAGTCTAAACACAGCATTAGTTAGGTCCTTTTACACGCCTTACCATTATCACGAGTGACTGACAAAGGGAGCTTGGTGCATACCATTGGGCAAGCAATTGTCTGTTGTTGTTGTTTTTTTTGCAATGTAGATAAAGAAAAAAAAGACTAAACAACTTTGGGCGCGACGTGACTACATGATCTACATGAAATTATCCCTGGGCCATTGAAGATGGTCCTGAAGGTAGGGTGGAGGTATAAATTTCTTTTATCAGCCCAAAAAATTTTGCCCAGAACCCATTTCCAAGCTATTTTAGTCCCAGTGACCAAAATTCCTTTATCCCAGTAAAGAAAAAAAAAAAAAAAAATTGGACAATCCCTAGACTACTAGTAGTCCCTCTTTCGCTTAGTCCGTTGTGCGTTACGCGAAAGAAAACTGCGAGAAAAAAATGGCCGCGCGAAATCCTACCGCCTAGGGAGTTTACCCTTTCACGGCCGAGTAATTTTTCGGTGTAGGATTTCTTATCTTGACGTCCTCTTATCATCGCCTGTTGTCAATAACGCGGGAGATATTCTGAGTAAAATCGTTCTTCTCTTAAAGTAGCGAGACAAAAACATGCCGCGAAAAGTATATCTTCGTTCAGTGTTCGTTCAGCGAAACTGCGAAAGACGTTTTAAAAAGAAGACGAGGAGGGAGGCATCTTGCAACGATTTTTGCGAAAATTTCAAATGCAGAGTTTCAACTGAAAATTTACATTATGTATGTGACATGTATTTGACACAGGAGGTCATCCAACTGCGGTGAAATGTTTGCCGAAAGCAGCGGAAAGTTTCAGGTGAATGTCCAGTTTCAAATGAATTAAAAGTCCGATTCGACCTTTCAAATGGACGGCAGAAAGGCCAAGTTCAGTGAATTCGTATTCACTGAATTGTTCTTGGACGATGCTGTTGAGGGGCTAAAGTCGCATTCGGGTTCAAAGCGGAAAGCTTTGCCAAACAAAACACTTGATAAATTAAATCTTTTCAAAGCCTGTTGGCAGAATCGCAAGAGCATCACGGCTAGCGAAGTGCGATTCCAACGCCCTAAGGGCCCGGACGCACTGGGCAAATTTTTGTTTATTTTGCGAAAAAATCTGTCATCAATTCCCTGAGA